CATTCCTGTAGCACCAGCTGTCCCACCTGGGGTCCCGAGCAGGTCACAGAGGACCTGCTATGCCGAGCAGGAAGCCTCAGCCAGGCCCCAGTACTCTCCCTCCCAGCTCCCTGGCTCCAGCCCTAATGAGAATGGGCTTCTCTCCCAGCCCCCTTAGCCTTGCTCCCGTCTTCCCTGCAAGCCAGAGCCTCTTTGAGTTTCAGCCCTGGAAATGCCTCTGGGTATTCAGCCTTCCAGGGTCTGGGGTGGTGGGGCCCCCGTCTCTGCACACAGCCTTTGACACTGCTTGGCTTCTGCCTCCCCTCCGTACCTGCCCCCCTCTCAGGGACCATGATGTCTCGTCCACGCCATGTTCCCCACAGGCCAAGCTGGTGCAGGTCACATCTGCAGCCCCAGGACACCCTGGGCACGTGCCACTAGCCAGTGGTCCCAGAGCCCACCTGCCTCCCTCACTGGGACTGCCTGAGGTTCTTGCTCCACACCGAATAATATTGAACTGGGATGGGGATGAGGCATTGTCCCCTCCTGTAAATGCCTGCTTTTAACCTCCCTTTAGGGGGGACTTTTGAGGACCCAGCTGGGCCAGGGCTTTAATCTTTTGGTTTAAGACTTCACAGAGCCAAGCTTTGGCCAAGAGATGCCCAGGTCTCCAAGCTTGCCTTTGAGCAGAGCTTCTGGTTTCTTCTGCCGCCCCCGCCTGAGGCAGTAGAAGTCACCAGTGGAAGGTGGTGGCCCTGGCCTCCATGCAGGGAGCCCGCAGGAACCTTCATGCCTTACCTATTTCCAATGGGTGAAGGGGTTTTCTTAACAAGCACGCCGACCTCCTCTCCGGGCGGCACTGTGATGCAAGCTGGCAGCTGAGTCCATTCATCATGCAGAACCTTTCGGAACCTTTGTCCTGTGGGCCGGGCAGCTCTGGCCCACCGTGTCTGTCACCCGGGGGGAGGGGCGGGGAGAGCGCCGACCTGTTCTCTTCCAGCTCTGCAGCGGCCAACCAGTGTCACCTATGAAGTATACATGAGAGAAATATATTTACAAATGCTTTATTCTCTTCTTTAATAAAAAAAAACGCACCAGTATTCTAAAAGCAGAAAGGGCCCTTGGAGCCAATGTTCCTGTCTCTGTGCGTCTCTCACACACCTCCCCCATCGTGCCAACTACGAGAGGGGGCATCCTGTGCTCCACTCCCTGGGCCCGAGTTCTCCACCTCTCCCTCAGTTCTAGTCGGCTCTGCTGCTAATAACAGGAAATACCAGAAACTGGATGGTCTACAAAAACAGGTTTATTCGGGGCCAGCAGTTGGCATAATAGCTATGTCGCTGGACTCCCATATAGTTGACCATGGTTCGAGTCCCAGACCTGGTGGCTTAAACTTATGCTGGGCACGTGTACGTGCGTGCCCAAGATCCTGAGAGGAGAAAGGAGGAGAAGGGATTGCGGAGTGGCCATCCCCCCGGGGGTGATTTCTCGCTTTCTGTCTCTGTAATTCTGGCAAGTGCACATGCCCTATAGCAAAAAAACTCTTAAAAACAAAAACAACAAAAAAAAGTTTATTCAGCTCACGGTTGTCAGTCCATGGGCTGTTGGTGGGGATCTGTGGACCCCTTGAGGCTTTAGAGCACAAGGGCTAGAGCAGACAGTCTGTCTCCTCTCCTCTCCTTGTAAACCGACCAGGAGTCGGTGGGGTAGGGTGGGGTGGGGCCGGCTCTCTTGACCTTAATCCTGATCTGCCCAGAGGCCTCACCTTGCAACTGGGTAGTGAGATTAGTCTTTCACTCTCTTCATCCTGTCATAGCCAGATCTCGGCGCAGAATGCTGAAGCGCTCTGCCCAGCAGCTCCTGGCGGAGGTCTCTTTATTCACGGCCAGGCACACCAGCCCTGCCCAGTGCTGAACCAAGCAGACAGGGCCCCTCTTCCCTGGGGGGTTATATCCCAGTGTGGGGAGAGCCACCCAAAATAAAAAGTGTGATGGGAAGACGGGGTAGGACATGTGTGCTGGATGGGGGCAAACCCATTTTAAAAATCCCATCCTGCACGATCTGGGCCAACAGCATGGGGGTTAAGGCGCTGCATCCCACACGGCCGGCTGCAGTTCCAGTTCCAGACCCAGCAACGTGAGAACCACTCCGGTTGCGTGTGCGTGGGTGCCCTAGATCCCAGAGAAGAATGGAGGAGAAGCGACCGTGGTGTGGCCATCCCCCTGCAAGGTGATTTCTCACTCCTCCCACCACTTCACATGAGCACACGTGCCCTATAGCAAAAACTTTTTTTTAAAAATGTACACAATTTTATATCTAGATAAGATATACACACAATACACGAAGAGATATACAGTGCAGTTATGGTATTAAAACTTCATGTGGGGGGCCAGCAGGTGGCATGGTGGTTAAGGCGTTGGACTCCCACATGGGCAACCATGGGATGAGTCCTGGACCTGGTGGCTTACTTCTTTCTCACTTTCTCTCTCTCCCTCTCTCAGGTGAGTCCACGTGCCCTGTAGGAGATTTTTAAAATAATGATAACAAAATTAAATAATTCTTAAAAAAAAATTCATTAGGAAAAAAATGTCTAAGTAGGCTCTTGTGAGGCGGGAAGGGAGAATGCTAATAAAAAAAATGGTTGAGAAACTGAATGAGGGTGGTCGGCACCCGCTGAAAGGTGTGCCATTTAGCTGAGACCCGAATGTTTGGGAAGAGCCAGTCAGGGAGAACAGTTCAGATTTGGGGGCCAACTGGACCCCCTAGAGCCCAGCAGGACCTGGGAGGGCTTGAAGTAATTGTAGAGCTGGAAGCACGCGTTTTTGCTTTTGTTATATGGTGTGTACACTCGCCAGAGAGAGTGGGAAAATAAGAAATGACCCCCGGGAGGCCAGCCATGCCACAATCCAATCTCTTTTCAGCACCTTGGATACACCCAGCGTGATTTTGAAGCCTCCAGGTCTGGAACTTGAACTGTGGTTTCACATGTGGGAGTCCGGTACCCTAACCACCTCACCACCTGCTGGCGCCTAAATCGGCTGAGGTTGTAAATGCCATCAGGCTGCTGCACAGAGGCTAGATTGTAGGGGGTGAGTTAGGAGTCCAGGACAAAGCTGATGCTCTGAGGGTCACAGAGACGGGAAGCAGACCAGTCCTTGAGCTGACAAGAGCTGAGTAGTCATAGCAATGACAAGACGGTCATCTTCTGGTGCTTTTCAAACTTATAACCCCCCGGCTGTCGTGTATCAACTCCCATCCCTTCCCCACATAATGGAGAGGACAGAGCCTAGGAGTATGTTACTGGCCCCAGGAAGAAGCAGGCCAAACGCAGTTCGAGTTCCAGACTTGGCGGCTTGCGTTCTCACTTTCCCTCTCTCTTTCTGTCCCTCTCTGGTGAACACATGTGCTCTATAGCACTTTTTAAAATGCTCATAATAATAAAAAATAAATGAAAAATTCAAATAAGAAAGCAACAACACTGGGCACGTGCAGAACCCAAATTCCCAAGAGGAGAATGGAGAAGGGACTGCGATGTGGCCATCTCCCTTGTGGGGGTGTGGTTTCTCACTTTCCCTCTCCCGCTCGCTCTCTCTTTTCCTGGCAAGTGCATCCAGCCTATAGCAAGTTGAAAAAAAAAAAAGAAGACAGGACCGTCGTGGAGGGTCGCCACGCCAAGGCTCCGCCCAGCTTCTCTCTTGTGCTGAAGGTGGTTTTCTGATTTCCTTGATGCGGACTATTAGTGTGCGTGCTCCACCAGCTCTCGCCAAACCTGGCAACATCCACCTGGGACTCAGGATTGCTGTCCGTGGTCAGACACCGGAGGCCCGGAACACGCTTGCAGGCTTGGGTCAAAGGAGCACCTTCAGAGATCTGCCTTCACCTCACACCGCCAACCCCACCCGCCCCTCCTTGCGCTCGGACCCTTCCCCCTGCCCACACATGCCAATGGCACAGGTAACGTCGGAAGTTGGAGAAGAAAATGCTCATGAATTGGGGGGGGGTTTCTAATCCACTTTATTGCTGACGGAAACTACAAGTCTGGGTAATTTATAAAAACAGAGATTTGTTCAGCTCACAGGTTGGAGGGCCCAGGTCCAGGGTGGGCTCTTGTGGCTGCATCACAGCGGGGCAGAGGACGGGGCTCCATGTGTTCTGGTCCCTCTCCTTACAGACCCACCGGTGTCCACCACGGTGCCCACCTTCACGGCCTTCCTCCTCACCTCTGCCCAAAGGCCCATCTTCGACACCGCAGTCAGACTAGGTTTTCATCCTCTTCGCCCTGTCACGGCCAAATCTCAGCGCTGGGACGCTGGGACGTGGGGACACACTCAAACTACACGGGGGCAGGTGTTTTGCTACCTTTCAATGCTCCAGTCTCCAGGTGGATCCCAACCCCACCAGCCCACCTATCTGTGAGAAGTGTCCAGAGTCTTCCCTGTGAGGGAGACACAGGGACCAGCGGGACTGTGGGACAGAGGAGGAAAGAAGGCTTCCCCACACACCCCTTCCTTCCAACACACCGAAGGAGCCAGAGGCAACCTCCCTCAGACCCTGGAGAATGGAGGTGTAGAGTGGGGAGCCCAGGTCAGGGCCCCACATTCCCATACTTTTACATCCACAGAACAGTGTGTACCTGGACGAAGCTGTGGCCTTCCCATCCTCCTGGCACTGACAACGGGGCAGAGGACACACTGATAACACAGTCAGTCACGCCTGAGTGAGGGGAGCCATCTGGCCTGTGCCCAGACACCCTGCTGCCCCCCACTTTTTTTTTTTTTTTAAGAGACATGTGTACTCACTAGGGACAGAGAGAGAGGAAGTGAGAATGACCACGCCACAATCCCTTCTCCACCATTCTCCTCTCGAGATTTTGGGCATACACGCACATGCGCCCAATGTGGGTTTCAAGTCACCGGGGTCTGGGACTCAAACTGCTGTCAGCCACATGGGAGTCCAGTGCCTTAACCACTCTACCACCTGCTGGCCCCATCCCTGGCTTTAAACTGCCCCTCTCCCTTCCCTCGCCCCTCTGTCCTTCCTTACCCCCTGAGGCCTCCCTTCCTGACAGGCACCCTCCCCATCCCCAAGGCCAGGCTCTGTGAACCACTGCGGGGAGGCGCCTCACCCTCACCCCGCCCTCGCCCTCGCCCTCGCTCTCCCTGCCAGCCCAAAGGGCAATGGAGGGACTGGCTCTCTTTTCAGAGGGCCAGGCAGTCCGGGCTGGTGGGAGGAAGCCCCTCCAGGAAGAAGGGCAGCTTTGCCCCTCACTCACACCAGGAAGTGTCTGTGCTGCCCACGCCCTGGGGATGGGACAAAGTAGTCAGGTTGGACGTCCCACCCAGCGTTGCGGACAACACAGGAGAACTCACGCAGAATGGAAAAGAAGGAAAGAGAGCAATTGGCCTCCCCTGGGGATAGCTAGCCGTGGGCCGGATGCTGACTGCGCCATGTTCCAAGAGTTGAATTCTCTCAGGAAGTTGACAGGGCAGCTGTACGATCTCACTGCCGAGGGTTTGGAGGCCCAGAAGTTAAGTTAGTCATTTAAGGTCAACTCAGCCTGACCGAGGCCTCCACTAGGCCTCACGGCTGATTCCCGTCTCCACAGGGTGGCAGGGTTTTTTTGTTTTTGCTTTAGGGCGCATGCATTTACCAGAGTGAGACAGAGAAAGGGAAAGTGGGGAGTACTCCCCGGGGGGATGGCCACACCGCAGTCCCTTCTTCTTCCCTCTTCTCTAGGGATTCTGGGTCCACACACACATTTTCAAGTCAAGCAGCTGGGTCTGGGACTTGAACCGCAGTCAGCCATGTGGTATCCAACACCTTAATCTCTGCACCCCTGCTAGCGCTAGGACAGTGAGGCTTTTTTTTTTTCATAATTATTTCTTATGTTTTAATTTTATTATTTTTTTATTTGACCAGAGAAAGACAGAGAGAGAGAAAGGGAAAGTGAGAAAGCAAGCTGTCAGATCTGAGACTCTAACTGCAGTCAGCCATGTGGGAGTCCAGCACTTTAACCACCATACCACCTGCCAGCCCCAGGATGGTGAGCTGTTTTGAGTTTTGTGGGGTTTTTTAGAATTACTTTATTTAACTTTATTTAAATTTGATGAGAGAAAGAGAGAAGGAAAGTGAGAAAGCAAGCTGCCAGATCCAGGACTCAAACCGCAGTAGACCATGTAGGAGTCCAGAGCCCTTAACCACCATGCCACCTGCCAACCCAGATGGTGAGTTTTAAGAGGCTGTCTAGACAGTGATGCAGTGGTAAAACACAGTCTGCAAGGTATCACACATGGAAGGTTCCCAGTTCAAGTCCAGAGCCCTCCCTGAGATGCCAGACCCACCCCATACAGGGATGGCTAAATCTGGGGAGTGAGTCATCATGCTGAGGGCACTATTATCTTTGTCTCTCACATGGAATAAATAAATACACTTAAAATTGTTTAAGAAGTCACATGAGCCAGGGCAGGCCAGAGAAGGGAAATCCCAGGGCCATGTGTGGCATGGGGCCCCAGCCACAGGCCACAGAGAAGGTCGGGTGTCTACAGGCACCTAGGGTGCCAGGAACAGTTTGGTGATTTGTGATCTTTTCTTCTAGTCTTCCCCCAAACCCTGCCCCTAGTGCCTCCTTTCCAAAGCATCATCTCAGCCAGTGGAGGACCAAGGAGGGGGGAAGGCTGGCCTCTGCCTTCAGTGCCCATTTTTCTAGGGGGATGGTGGCCTCTCTTAGGCTTGTTTCTCCCAGAAGGATGGGTCCCTGCAGAGCAGGCGAGAGGGCCCTGCCAGCTGCTCTTCTCTCGCCCAGAGGCAGCTTGTTTCATTCTCTCCCCTGTTCTCCCTCCTCCTCCCCCAGAATCCAGGCCACCAGATGGCCCGAGCAGGCTGTGTTTATTGGGGCGATGGCTACCTGCAGCTTCCTGTTCCTACTGCCCTGGGTCAGGTGCAGGGCTGGAGCCCAGCCTCCAAGCAGTGATGCTGCAGAATGGTTCTGACTTTATTTTTCATAATCCCTTAGCCCTCAACAGGAGAAAGTGCCTGGCCTGGCTCCCCTGAGCAGCTTGTTCCAGTCACCATAGAGACGCCTCTGTTCCTTCTGAGGTTTGGGGACTAGATCAGGGAGGGACCCGGGAGACTCTCATTCCAGCTACAGACCAAGACAAGTAAGACAGATTTTCACCCCCAGTGCAGTTTGGGCTTACGAGCCAGCGCCTGGGAAGTGGTTTATTCCCTTCTAAAGATATCACCAGCAGGAGTGCTTGGATGGCGAAGCCTCAATGTGAGGACAATCTCCTGTTTCAATCAGCCAGCATCCCCAGGGGCATATATTTCTAGGTAATTATGCTTTTTCCTAAAAATAGAACTCTTTATTAAGAAACAACACTTGTATTACTAATAACTACTAACACTCAGTGAGCCGTTCCCATGCCACAGTGCTTCCCCACAAAGGAAGGTTTAGCTGTTTTCAAATGCTGCTTGTTCTACTTCAAACGTTTTTCAGAATTAAAACTGTTTGGTTCTGGAGTTCATGCCTTGGCCCTACAAAAGGACTCTGAATTCCTTACCGCCTTCCCTTAGCTCCTGCCTGGAAGACACCACCACCACCACCATAAAGCTGGAGGGGGCTGGGGAGGGAACTGCATGTTTAGAAGCATTCCTTTTCTGCCACCTGCCTTCCTCTCCTGCATCTGGCATTCTCTTGCAGAGCTGGCTAGGTAGGAATAAGCCATCTGCGCACAGTTGCTTAGGGAGTGTAGGATTAGCGAAGCCGGAAGTTCCCAAAACTTAGCTCTTCCAGAACTCGACTTTCAAAAACACATTCCCAAGGAATTTGTTTTTATCATATGCAAGTCATGCCACTTTCTATGTGCTCCGGTTACAGAACCCAGCAGGTGCCTCGTCCCTTCTCCCAGTCTGCATTTCGGCTAGGAGACAACAATTAGTTAGAAAAATAAGATTGATGGGAGGAAAAAAAACAGGCTTGGCCAGGCGGGCCTCATACGTTTTGATTTGGCCGATGAGGGAACCAGGAGGAGTGGGGCTCTGTAAGGGAGAGAAGTAGAGTTTCTGGGGCACACAACATCCAGGGATTCTTTCCACTAACTCCTTTGGAAGCTCGCGATCTGGCCAACGTCTTCCCCACGCCATGCGGCCTCCAGCGGGGGGCCAACCGCAGAGCTTCGCCCGGAGCTCAGCTCATCGCTTCCTTTGGCTGACCCTAGAAAACACGCGGAACTAAAGTCCAGAGGGCGGCGCGAGCTTGCGGAGAGCGGAGAGAAAGCGCCCGCCGGAAGCAGTCCAAAGACCGGAACATGGCGGCCGCCTGGTGTCTGCGTTGGGGCCTGAGCCGAGCCGGAACCTGGCTGCTCCCGCCGCCCACGCGCTGCTCTCGCCAGGCTCTGCACAAGCAGGTAGATGGCACCGAGTTCCAGAGCATCTACAGCCTGGACAAGCTCTACCCCGAATCCAAAGGCCCGGACACCGCCTGGAGGGTCCCGGTGAGCCAGGAAGGGCAGTACGGAAGGGGCGTTTTTTCACGCTGCTGGGTGACGTCAGGAAGCCGAGGCCCCATTGGCCGAGCTGGAGGCCATCGAAGGCGGTGCAGGAGGATGCTGGTTGTCCCAGCAACCGGGGGCTGTCAGTGCAGTGGGGTCTAGGCACCTGCGGAGCTTGAGATGCCGGAGCCGGGAAAGCCTCTAGGTGTGCCTTTTTTCAGGGCCTCCAGATTTTCCGCACTCATGTCCTGAGGGCTCATGTTTGTGTCCTAAGGGAAATATGGGCATTCTGGCCCTTCGAGGTGGACCATGAAGGTGGGAGGCTGCCAAGTTGTTTGCTGCTCTTTGGAACGTTTTACTGTCTTGTAACCCCTAGTAACCCCTGCACGCCTGCGAAAACTGCTGCTCGTTTTTTGTGTCAACATGCTTTTATTTAGTTCGCAGCATGCAGGCACTACATCAGGCCCCTAACCCTAACCCGGAGGGGAGAGGTGAGACCATATTATTTAATGAGCTTCCACGTACAGTCCTGGAAGAGAATATTCATTCATTAATTCATTCACTCAACATTCAGCAATTTCTTTTGAGAGCATCCTATGCATAGTGCATCAGACTGGGGGATAACATTCCAAACAACAAAAACCCTGATGTTCTAGAACTTATATTCTAGGGGAGGGAGACAGGCAATAACATATTGTAGAACGTGCAGGATGGTACTTTGGAGAAAACAAAGCCCAGAAGGAAGGAGGGCTAGAGGTAGGTTACAGTTTTAAGTAGGGTGGTCTGGGAAGTCCCAGTGAGAAGGGAACACCTGAGTGAAGACCTAAGAAGCAACACGGAACCATGGGAATTGTGGTCAGCCCGGAAAGAGGGAACAGCACATTCAGCAACCTCTAGGCAGTGGCATGTTCAACTGATGTGGCTGAGCAGGAGTCAGAGGACGACGTGACGCTGAAGAGAAGGGGACAGTGGGCCTGTTAGAGGCTTACTGGCCTCCACCTGTCACCTGAAAGTGATGGAGACCCACTGGAGGATTTGAGGCAGAAGAATGGAGTGCCTTGACTCAGTTTTACAGAGATCACTCTGACAGAGCCTTCTAGAAAACTGAGTGGAGGATGGCAAGGACAGGGAGATGAGTTGGGATTGCAGCAACACAGGCAAGAGATGATAAGCAGAGTAGGAGTCCTGAAAAATGGCCAGATCCTACAGATTTTGAAGGGAAATCCTAAGGGATTTGGCATTGGATTGGATATGAGGAGTGAGAATGAGAGAGGTAGTGATGTCCGGAGCTTTGAGCGATGGAAGGATTGAGTTGCCATTAATTGAGCCAAGATAATGGCAGTGACACGCATTTGTCCATCCATTCGACAGAAAGATGCTTGTCACCCCCGTGTCTGGTACTGTTTCAGGCACAGCAGTTACTGCCCTGATAAGCACACAGACATAATTTCTAGTGGAAGGAGCAGGCAGTAAACAAATGCAGAAAGCATCAGGGAGTGCGGCCAGCAGGTTGTGTGGTGGTTAGGAGGCCCACATGGCTAACTGCGGTTCAAGTCCCGGACCTGGTGAGCACCCATGCCCTATAGCAAATTAAATAATAATAAAATTAAATAAATAATTACTTTTAAAAGAAGAAGAAGAAAGAAAACATCAGGTAGTATGAGGTCCTAATGAATGAACCAGTCCTAACGAGGGGGGGTTACTTCAGAATGTCAGCAGGGGAAGTACTCTGTGAGGAGGTGTGAGGTTCTTGGTGCCCGTCGGGCATCTGAGAGGAGAAATTGAGTAGCAGCTGGGTGTATAGGTTCTAGAGTTGAAAGAAGTCTGAGTGTGAACCAGAAGGTTGGGAGCCATCGGGACCAGCAGATGGTATAATGGTTACATTGCTGGTCTCCCGTGTAGTCATGGGAGGTTCAAGTCCCAGACCCAATAGCTTAAAAATCACAGCAGGCATGGTGTATGTGCATGCCCAAAATCCTGAGAAGAGATTGAAGGAAGAGGGATTACAGCATGGCCATCCCCCTGGTGACGGGGTGATGTCTCACTTTCTGTCTCATTGAGCTTCTCTGTCTCTCTGGCAAGTGCACATGCCCTATTGCAAAAATCTCTCTTAAAAAGAAGAAGAAGGAGAAGCAGCAGCTTGGGAGACATCAACCCCAGTTTTCTTCTGCATAGATGGGTGAAGTATTCCAAAGGAAGAGTAGAGAAAGGGAAGAGGAAGGACTGCAGGGGCATGTCAGTGGTTAAAGGTGGGAAAGACCAAGCAAAGTAAAGTAAGACAGAGGCTTAAAGGAGGTCAGAGGAGGTCAGAGGAAGAACATACTTGGGGAAGGAGGGTGTGGCCCATGGTCTTCCCTGCTGTGGAGAGGTAGAGTAGATGAGAATGTCACCCCAATAATTCTAAGATAAAAGGAACAAGGCAGCCAGAGCAGATACAAATGAGGATACTTGGAAGGCCAGAAAAGCCTCAGGAGGTAGCGTTGCCCCCAGGCCTGAGGAGTTAAGGCTGCAGGGCATTGCCATGGGAGGAACGGTGCGGAGAGGGACCTGGAGGTCAGACGTCCTGAAATGAGTAATTCAGTTTGACACAAACCCACAGCACAGAGGCACCCATCAGTGTGCAGGACAGACCTTGTGGGTGAGCATCCCGGGCCCCACTGAGCTCGTTACTGAAGTTGTCAGAGGAAATAAATTTTGGAGGCCTCCTGATGCCTCTGCTGTGATGAGGCTCTGGCTGTCAGCTTTGTCTTCCTGGAGGGGTGGTCCTGAGGTGGGACCTGTGGTGTCTGGGGATGCTTTTCCTGTCATTTGATAGGATGACTTTGCTGGCGAGCTGAGGTAGTGATGCGTTATGTCCGTATTGTGGCTTTACACCGGTTCTGTTGCCCTGGACCAGTTAGGAGTCGCCCAGCTGGTAATTCCCGTCTGATCCCATGTACGTTACGTTACAGGATGGTGCGCAGCAGGCCGGCAGTGACATTCCCCTGGGTAAGTCATTTTCTCTTTTTTTTTTTTTTTTCTTTAGGGCTATAGGGCACTTTTTTTTTTCTTTTTCTTTTTCTTTTTTTTCTTTTTTTGCTATACAGCATATGCTGTCTCTGAATAGAAAGAGAGAGAGAGAGAGCACCCCCGGGGGATGCACATGCAGTCCCTTCTCGTCCATTCTTTTCTGGCGATTTTCGGCACATAAACACAATGCCTGCCATGCTTTACTTTTCTGTCTTTTTAGAGACATTTTTGCTGTACGGCACCTGCACTCACCATAAAGACAGAGATAGAGAAATAGAAAGTAAGAAATCACCCCGTTGGTGGGATAGCCACACCAATCCCTTCTTCTCCATTCTCCTCTAAGGATTTTGGGCATGCATGCCACGTGCCCAGTGTGAATTTCAGGTTGCTGGGTTTGGGACTCGAACTGTGGTTGCCCATGTGGGATTCAGCTGCTTTAACCACCATGCCACTGTCTGGCCCCAATTGCTTGTTCTTGATTTCTTTTCTTTTCTTTTTCTTTTTTTTTTTTTTTTACTAGAGGGTATGTTTGTTCACCAGAGAGAGACAAAGAGAAGGAAAGCAGATGGCACCCCCCATGTGGAATGGTCACTCAGTGGTCCCTTCTCTTCCATCTCTTCCCTCCTCTCAGGATTGTGGGCACCCTCACACACATACTCAGCTCCTTCCTTCCTCCTTCCTTCCTTTCTTTCTTTCTAAATTGATTTTTCCTATAGGGTGCGTGCATTGGCCGGAGAGACAGAGAGAAACAGACAGAAAGCGAGAAATCACCCCCAGAGGACATGGCCACAGCCACACCGCAGTCCCTTCCCTTCCATTCTCCTCTCGGGATTTTGGGCACACACACGTACTCCTGACGCCAGTTTAAGCCGCTGAGTCTGGGACTTGAACTGTGGTTGACTATGGGGAATCCAGCAATATAACCATTATGCCATCTGCTGTTCCCCTCAGCATCTTTCTTAAGGCACTGGGTCCAGGTCCGGAACTGTGTAGGTGGCAATGTGAGGTCCATCTGCCCCACCACCAGGTCACAGGGCCAGCTCTGGTTTCAGTTTCCAATCTGTAAGTAAGCTCTAGCTTTACTGACTTGAATGTTGCCACTGGTACGTGTAGTCATCCTTCTGTATCCATTGGGAACTGTTTCCAGGACCCTCACTGATACCAAAACCTCAAATCCCGTATACAAAACTACATAGTTGGGGCCAACCAATGGCATGGTGGCTAAGATGGCTGGATCCCACATGGCTAACTCTGTAGTTGAGTAATGGACCCAGAGGCTTAAAAAAAACATGGGGCGGAGCCCAGCAGGTGGGATGGTGGTTAAGGTGCTGGAAACTCCCACATGACTGGCCACGGTTCGAGTCCCGGGCCTGGTGGCTTCCTGTTTCACTTTTCCTCTCTTTCTTTCTATGTCTCTCTCTGGTCAAATTAAAATAAATGAATGAATGAATGAATAAATAAATAAATAAGACACACTGGGCATACGTGCACATGAGCCCAAAATACAGCAAGAGAGTGAAGGAGAAGGCATTGTGGCATGACCAGCCCCCCAGAGAATGAATTCTCACTTTCCTCCCTCTCTCTGTCACTCTGGCAAGCACACATGCCCTATAACAAAACCAGAAATAAATAAATAAAATTGCATAGTTTCTGCATGTAGTCTGTGCCTGCCATCTGTGCACTTTAATTATCTCTGCTTATAATACAGTGTATACTAGTTGATGTGCTACATTGTTTTCATTTGTATTTCTTTACTCTACATTATATACATTATATTTTATTTTCAATTTTGTTTTTGTTTTTTCCATAGGGCATGTGCGCTTGGCTAGAGAGGGACAGAGAGAAAATGAGAAATCACCCCAGGGGGTTGGCCTTGCCACACTCCCTTCTTCTCCATTCTCCTCTCAGAGTTTTGGGTATACATGCACATGTACTCGGCATGATGTCCCAGTCACTTGGGCCCAGAGATCGAACCATCGTCACCCAGGTGGGGTCCAGCACCTTAACCACCGTGCCATTTGCTGACCCCTCAGATTTTTTTTGCTCTGGTTGGTATGGCCCACACACACAGGGCCCAGACACAGAGGGCTGGCTCATATGGAAAGCCACTGAAACAGATACGTGTAAAGGGGCAGTTGTGTCAGCAGTAATCACGCACGCTTGTGTGTGTGTGTGTGTGTTTTGCAGATCGCTTGACCATCTCTTACTGTCGGAGTAGTGGCCCTGGGGGGCAGAACGTTAACAAAGGTACAGGGCATCTGCCTGCTTGCTTTTGCTTTAAAACTTAGCTGCGAGGTGGGCTGGGGCTCTGCGTGTACGTTCATGCAGAATAAAGGGCTTTTTTCAGCAG